ACTTCCACGTGGGCTGGGCGTCGAGGCTGGTGGAGGGCCGGGCCTTAGCCTTGCTGCCTGGGCCGGTGTGGGTCTGAGCGCACACATCTCCTTTGCCTCCCCTTGAGTCAGGGTGGCCATTGACTCATCAGAGAACGTTCTGGGGGCTGCCCCGGAGTGCCCAGTCAGGTGGCCGTCCCTGCCCTTCTGCTTCCAGGCTCTGGGGAGGCCTGAAGGCTGGAGCGGGTGGGTGCGCAGCCAGCCTGGCTGTGCTGGGACTTCCTTTAGCCTCTGTGGGAGATTTCTGTGTGCAGTATGTCACTACACCAGGCTCTTGTCCTGTCTCGGGGGCTCCTTGTCTGTGGCTGATGCTGCTTCGCTCCTTGGAGAGCAGGGGACGGTGCCGTCTGGATATGGGTGAGGCTGCCCGCTGCCCACAGGACCAGAGTCGCTCTTACTTCTGAACATCCCTAAACCTCACGCTAGAGCTTGACCCCCGGCTGCAAGACGCCTGAGGGTCTGAGGGTCCCTCTGGGCACACAAAGTGTCCCCTGGTGTGGTGGCTCCTCTGCCCCTGTAGGGAGACTTTATGGCCTGATGCCCTGGGCCACGGCTCCTACCCCTGGGTCTCCACCTGTGGCTCGGTCCCCAGCAGGTATGGTATCATGCACACCCAGGGAAGCCTCCCATCCCCGTGCGGTGCATGTGGCTGCTGCCTGGACTCTGTGCTCACACACGTCTTGCACATGTCTGTGCCTGAGACAGGTGCAGGGGCTCTCGGGAGAGCAGGTGCCCGTGCTGCTCTGAAGATGTGCTGTAGCAGGTCACGCGTTCATGGGGCGCATGGATGACCCTGGAATATCCCCTCTGTCAGTGTTGTTCTCTGTGGGGCTTTAGAGAGACTCACTGTGCACTTTTCTGATGGGGCTGCCATGGTGGTGGCACTTGGGAATCCTGCTTCAGGTGCCTTTGGGGGCACAGCTGGAGTTGTCTCTCTCCTCCCCACCTCCTCGAGGAGGCACAGTCCCCTCAGCCTTGCTCTCCTCGGAGAGCATGGCAAGTCAGCCTGTCCCAGCTTCCGGCAAAGCCAAGAGGCTTCCCACCTGTGCCCAGTGTCATTCCTGCCTCGAGGAGGTGGGGAGGAGAAAGAGCTAGGGGCCGCTGGGGACCCTTCACTCCTGGAGGGCTAGTGGACCCACCAGAGGAGGGCTTCCGGTGGCGGTGTGACCCAGGACTGCCAGGGGCAGGAAAGTCCATGCCAAGTGGAAGGAAGAGGGGCACTGGGCTCTTTCACCTGATACGATTGTCTCGAAGGAGAGCGTTGTTGGCACAGTCCTGGCCCCACAGAGTGTCCCTGTTCCCCAAGCCTGCACATGTGGCCTACGCAGGCAGAAGGGACCTTTGTCGATGACGATGAGTCCCAGCCCTGAGGTGGACTTGGTCCTGTATTATCCGGGATCACACAGTCACAAGGGTCCCGAGAAGGAGGTGGCCATGTGAGGGTGGGGTCAGAGGTCACAGTGATGTTATTGCTCCCTAGGGGCCATTAGCCAAGGAGTGCAGAGGTCTTGGGGAGCTGGAAAGGCAGGAAATGGGTCTCTGGGGAGCTGGAGACCCAGGGAGACCCAGGTTGGACTTCTGACACCAGCACTGTAAGAGTACGCGTTTGTGTTGTTTTAAGCTGCCGTGGTGGTGGTTTTCCACCACAGCCACGGGAAACAAGTGCAGAGGTCACCAAGGGGCTCCGTGGCCTGCCCCCATGTGGCCTCGCCCCCACCCCACCCTGCAGGGCATCTCAGACCCTAATCTGTGGGGCAGGGAGGCCTGTGGATGCGGGTGGCCCGGGGTCCTCGGTGTCTGTGGGTAGCTTGGGACACGATGAGGCCCACGCCGGAGGCCAAGGGACCCAGAACCTTGGCAGCCGCCGCAGATTTTTGGGGCATGTATGAGAGGAGTCTGCTGTGTGAACGCCCAGCTCAGTACTTTCCTCTGGGCAGGAAATCGGCCCTCCTATTTCTTTTCCTACTCGGGGAAGAGAAAGAAAAATTGATGGTGAGGGATTTGTGCCCCCTTTGTCCTGTGGAAAGGTACAGCTGTGCTCGGCACACTGCAGGTGACCTGAATGTGTCACCGCTGGGCAGGAGGCAGGCTCTGAGGTGGCGTCGTGGGGCGAGCAGTCATCATTCCCGTCTCGGGAGAGGCAGCAGCTTGGCCTTGCAGGGAGCCATTTGCTCAGAGATAGGAAGAGCTCAGAAGAGGTAAAGGCTCCACCGCTGCAGCCGCTTTGTTTACCGAGTTGTCCTCGTACCAGCACGAGTGACACTGGGCACAGGTGGGAAGCCTCTTGGCTCTGCTGGAAGCTGGGACGGGCGGACTCGCCCCACTGTCTGAGGAGCCCCGTCCGCAAGGCTGAGGGGACCGTGCCGCCGGCCCACTAGGGAGCCAGGTGTCACCGGGCTCTGCACAGCGAGGATGGCAGGGCTCTGCTGTTCACATTTGTCTGAGCTCTGCAGAGAGCCCGACCCCAGGAGGTCCAGGGTGGAAAGAGGGGTGGCTCCCTGAGGCCCCGTGACCTCTGAACCCAGGCTTGTGACACGGCAGGCACGACATGCCACGCCGGGCTCCAGGAAGGCTCTGTGTCCGCCTCCGTGGCATCCATCCGCAGGCTGGGACTGGCCACCTTGGGCCAGGCTTTGGCCACTGCTCTGCTGCATGCTGGAACCTGGCCCGGACTGCCACCCTGTCATGGTTTAGTGACTCCAGGAAGGGGTGTGGGGAGAGCCCCATTTAGGAAAATGTGGTTTCCTGTTACCCACGCAGGGAGGGCCCTGAGTGCCTCTCTGACCTATGCATGGAGAGGCATGTGGGCAAAGGCCAAGACCAGAGGAGGCGGTGTGTGGGTGCCAGGAGTGAACCCGGGAAAGTACCAGAGCCCTCTGGCCTTGGCCTGCTCCACCCAAGAGCCCAGCCTGGAACGAGGCTGCCCAGTGTGACACATCTTACCTCTGTGTTCCCGTGAGATAAAGTCACTGCCACAACATGAAGACAGAGGCGTGAGGAGAAGCCGCCCCATGGCTGTCTCTGAACCTTCCCCAGCTGGCTCTGAATCCGGAACTGATCCAGGTGGACGCTCCCCTTTGGGGAGAAAGACCGCAGGCGGGGTGCTTGGTTCCCTCCTTTGTTTATCCAGCGACCCTCGATTCAGCCCCTTCTGTCTGCCAGGCACACCGAGGGAAGAGCAGGAGGCTGGGAACTCGGTCCCGTGGAGGTGGCTGGGTGGGGGTGGGAGGGCGGTATCTGTCTCAGATGGGCCAAGATGCCCAGGCTCTCCTGGCTACTGATGGGCGATGACCCCTGTTGGAGGAAGGATCCCCAGGCTTTTCCTGCCTTGGGGCATGGACCTACCCACCAAGGGGTCCAGGGCCAGGCTGGGGCCAGCTCGGGCCCACGCAGTGGTGGAACCTGGCCACATCTGTGGGTTGGGCACCTGGGTCCCTGGAGAAATGTAGCCGTGCCAGGGCCAGATGCTTCTCCTCAGGACTGAGGGGAGGGGGGCTCTGGAGAGAAGCAGCCTGATGAGACCAGGCAGATCATGGGGACAGGCCCAGTGCCCCCACGGGGAGGGTCTTCTCCAGGTAGGCTTAGCTGCCCTGAGGGTTCGGGAGTCCGGGATGCTGAAAGACGTGGAAACCATGCTTGGAGAAGGGCCAGTCCCAGCAGGCAGGGGAGCAAGGCAGAGCTCCAGACACCCACACTGAGCAAATCTTCCTGTCACTGGGCAAATCCGAGTCTTTTCTCACTGGTCAGTAACAGCGTCCAGTGAGCCGCCAGCGCCCCCAGTCGGGGTGGGGCCGGTGAGATGCAGGCACCTGTCTGTCTCTTCCCTGTTGGGTACTGTGAGCCTGTGGCTGCCAGGCAGGAAGGTTGACTGACCTTTGGCTTCTGGGTTTACTGACCCCAGACCGCCCGAGGCTGCTCCAGGCCTGGGCACGGCGTCCTGCTGTTTCTGCGTGGCTGCTCCTGGACATTGGCATGGGACTAGGGTCTGAGGCTGTCATACTGCCCTTGGCCTCAATTTTGGAGTCTTAGGCCTGGCCCTGTGGCCCCAAGTTATGTGGTGAGGTGTCCAGGACAGGAAAGGAAGCTACGAGGGTCAGGACAGTGGGGGAAGAGCAAGGGCTTCAGACTTGCCCTCAGGTGACCCAGCACCCTTGGTTTTAGGAGGAGGCAGGGATGGGACAGAGGAAGCGGAAGAGAGGCAGAGTCCCCTGTCTCACCTGTCTCTTCAGGTGGCAGAAGTGTCTTGACTTCCAGAGGCCGCCTGCACTCCCTGGCTCCTGGCCCCTTCCATCTTCGGTCTTCCAGTCTCTCCGACCTCTGGCCTCTGACTCTGCCTCCTCCCTCTGCCTGGATGCTCTTTCCCTGGCTCTGCAGGAACGCGCTGTGTTCCCTCTGGGTCTGACTTGGTCCTCACATTTTCTGAGGCTTACCTGCAGCAGTCCTGTGTCCGACCTGCCCTGTGCTCTTCTCAGGCTCCTTGGCCAGCTCAAGCTGTGGGCTGTCCCCGCTGGCCCAGGGCCTTTGCTGTGCCGCTGATGTGTCCCAGAACCTCGCCCAGCTCATGGAGGCGCCGGGTGGGTGAGGTGGGTGGGTCGGGTGCAGTCAGCATCCTCTCCACAGGTATCCTTGGCATGGCGGCACTTGGTGAAATGGCTTTTGTGTTCTGTGTTCAACGTTATGAAGGACAGTGAGGAAATTCCCACCCTTGCTTCACCCAGCTCTTGCCTCAGTCATGTAAGAGGAGCCCCGTTAATAGTTCCTGCCCAGGAGGAAGGGCTGGGTGGGACCAGTGCACGCCTGCCATGTGAGCGCCCTGCACCCTGGAGGAAGATCAGGCGCTCAGGTCCGCTCACAGAGCAGAGACCCCACTGCTGAGTCAGGCACTCCTGCCCCAGCGTCCCAGAGTCAGAGGGCCTGCGTGGACATGAGCGATGGTCACCTGGCCATTCTCTTGCCCACAGAGGAGGAGCTCCGGAAGCTTCGAGAAGAAACCAATGCAGAGATGCTGCGGCAGGAGCTGGACCGGGAGCGGCAGCGGCGGATGGAGCTGGAGCAGAAGGTGCAGGAGGTGCTGAAGGCCAGGTACCGCCCCCTCCTCAACCCCCGCCTCCCCTCCAGCCTCTGCTATACCCAGAGCATCCCGGCAACGTCACCCTTAGCCCTGGAGAGGTCTGGGGGTAAGGGTGGGCCCGGCTCTGACTGCCCAGGGATAGGTCCTGCCTATGCTCCAGTGGTCTGGGAAAGGGGGACGTTGGGGCAGGTGCTCCTGCCAGCCCCAGGTCTGGGGCCAGGCCAACTGAAGAGAGGCATGGCATGGGGCCTGCCGAGCCCCAGAGACACCTCCTGGCCTGGAGGTGACCCATTCTGTGCAATCTGCCCCAGCGCCCCACCCTGGGGGCCGGCCCAGCCTCTTAGGATCTTCCCAGGACCTGCCCTCCCAGCGCTGCCTGTGTGTGCTCCCATGCTCCCTGTCTGCCCCAGCCACACAGCAGCCCCTCAGGGTGCCCTCACAGATGACCCACGCTCCCCCATCCTAGCAGGATCACGTCCTAGAGTGCCAGTGCCGCCCCTGCTCTAGAGGGTTCGTTCACAGCTGACGTCTTTGCCCTTGGTGGTGGGTCCCATGCGGGTCCCCTGAGTACTCACATCCTCCTTCCTCAGCCTGCCCTGTGACTCATGGTGATGCCAGCAGGAAGCAGCGCACCCAGGGCCCCAGCACAAGTTACAAAGCCAGTGCCCTCCTGTTGCGCTAACACCACGAGGCTCCATGTCCTTCCGCACAAGTTTAAACTGGTTCCTGGTGGATAAGGCCAGGGAGCTCAGGCCACTCACCTCTGGCTCCCAGGCCTTCCACTCAGCCTCCACTCCAGCAGCCTCCTGCCTCAGCCTCTCCCTCAGCCTCCCCCGTTTCTACCCAGCCTCCCCACCAACATCTAGCTCTTCAGCCTCCCTCCTCAGACTCCACTCCTCCAGCCTCCCCCCTCAGGTTCTACCCAGCCTCCACTCCCAGCCTTCCAATCAGCCTCCCCTTACCTTCCCACTCAGACTCCCCCTGCGTCTCCTCCCTCAGCCTCCACTCCCAGCCTCCCTCCAGCCTTCCATCAGCCTCCCCTTACCTTCCCACTCAGACTCCCCCTGTGTCTCCTCCCTCAGCCTCCCCCACAGCCCCCACCTCCAGCCCCCACCACCACTGACCACAACTTTGTCCACGGCCCCCATGACCTTCACCCTGGCTGAGCACTGACTGCCTGCCCTGAGGGCTCCAGGGGCCACTGTTAGGACCCCAAGTGTCCCAGCTTAGCTGACTCCAAGGAAGTGGGTCCCTTCAGCACCCTCAGGTTTAGTGTGTGGGAAGCCGGGGCGTCCGCTGGGCTGGCTCCCACTTCTTCCCTGCCCATCTCCTGCAGGTCAGCATGACCTTGCGGAATGCCCTGGAGGGGGTCATGTGGGGGGATCCAGCTCGTGTGGGGGAGGGGGTGGCCTCACTTTCCTATTCCGCCCCGGCAGAACCTCCCAGACCAGAAATGGGTGCATGGGCCCTGGTAGGCGCCCATGTACCTGATGCTGAACTTTCTGTGAAAATCCACAGAAGCTCAAAGCTCAAATGACATTTAATTATGTAGAGGTGCGGCGACAGAGACCTGACCCAGGGACAGGTGTGGTCCCCAGGCATATGACCTCAGCGCCATCCCCACCATGGAATGCTGCTTCTCCCCCACTGGCTAAGGTGGCCTGAGGCTGTCCCCTCGGCCCTGTTCCCTGTCTTCTGCTTCCTGTCCTCTCGCCCCCACCAGCCCCACTCCAGGGTCTGGTCCTCATCTTTTACCAAAGCCCCTTGGTGGCAGCTGTGCCCAGCCTGGGTCAGCTATGAGGACGCAGGGAGCCCCGTCTCGCCCAGTCTTGGCCTTGGGAATAGCTGGGGAGGGGACAGTAAAGGAACATGCAGGCTGTGACCCAGGAAGTGGAACATTGCAGGCTGTGACCCAGGAAGTGGAAGCTGAAGCTCCCGGAAGCATGAAGGGCCTCCCCTGCTTTACATGGGGGCGGCATTTAGGAACCTTCTGGAAGCCTGGTGGAGAAGGGGTGAAGGAAGAGCAGTCCCAGGCAGAGTGACCTCCTCTTTCCTTGTCATCCTGCTGCAGATCTGGGGTGGGTCTGGGTGGCTGTGGTCTGTCCAGGGTGGGTAGGTGTGTGAGAGCACACGCAAACACACAGACACGTGTGCACACACTGCACACATGCACACACACCCCAGGCTCTCAGGCTGCAGGATTAAGGCACAGCAATTCTGTTTATGCAAACCTCTATTTTGGTTTTTAAGAAAATTCTGTCACCTTGGTTTAAGGCTACTTGTTAGCGGGCAGAGGTTCTCTCCATTGTGGATCCAAAGCCCCCTGAAAACCTCTCGTCTGCTTACCTGGCCCCACCCTGTGCTCCGTCCTCTGTTCTATTCTCAGGGTTCACTCCTCCCCCAGCTTCCTCCCTCCCTCTCCCCGCACCAAGAGCCTGAGTTAGGAAGGTCAGGGGCAGCCACACAGCACTTGGCCTGGGTCTGTGCTGCACCTGCTCACGGGCCTTGGCTGGAGGGGCTGGGTATGGGACAGAAGCAGACCCTGGTGGCCGTCTAGTGCCCCTGCCCAGCCCAGCAGGCCCAGGTCTTGGAGTAGGCTGAGCTAGGAACTGGGCACGGGCCGCTGGCAGGTAGCACCCAGCCTGTGGCCTGGCGCGGTGCCTAATACATACATGTGTGTTGATCAGTATCTTCTCATTAGCAGACGTGTTGGTGGCATGAGGGTGTTCTGAGCTTGTTGAAGAAGCAACTGAGCTAAAGTGGATAGAAAAGAGGAGTGCTAAGAGCCACTGTGTGGTTGTTTAGCAGCAAACGTGTGCCCGTTAGGAAGGCGACTCTGCGCTGCCTGCCTGTGCTCGGAAGCCGCGTTTGAGCGGTGGGACTCCGGAGACAGCCCCGCTGTCCCTGAGCGCTGCTGGGCGGCGTGCAGTCACGAGGGCCCTGGAGGTTCGCGCAGCCTGACCGTGCAGAGTTTTGAGCTAACAGACCTCTTGTCTCTTCTCCCCCTGCTTTCTAAGAACCGAAGAGCAGACGGCTCAGCAGCCCCCGAAAGGGCAGGCCCAGGCCAACAATGGAGCAGGTACGCCCTGGCGGGCAGGCGGGTGGGCAGGCGGGAGGCAGGTGCTGGTTCTGTGCCCGGGCACCCGCTGGCATCCGGGAGTCTCCTCCCGTCGGAACTGGGTTAGTGTCTCTCATGCGAGTGGTGAGTCATCGTCATCACTGCAGGTTTCCAGTCACTTAACCAAATCGTGACGGCGTGTTCTTCAGGGAATACACACGTTCACTGAGCCTTGCCCCGTGGAACCGCAGTGTGAGAGCCACCCTGGTCACTGCCACTGCCCTGGCAGCCTTCCCGAAGGGGACCAAGTGGGCATTGGGGCCGCGGTGGCTTGCGAGTGCGGAGTGGGAGACTGCGTGCCCTGTTTCCTCTCCTCGTCCTCCATCCCTGAGCACCTGTTCTTTATCCTGCCCTCGCCCTGCAGGCAGCTGGCACAGTCCCCTGCACCTGCGGGTCGGCAAATTCCAGCCCCCGCCTGGCCTCACAGGTTTAAACGGTTACATTTCATGACTGGAGAACATTGTATGAACCTGAAATTTCAGTCCATAAATAAAGTCCATGGCAACAGAGCCGGCCGGTTCGCTCATGGCTGGGATGAGTTTGCCAACCCCACCCGGACCCTCCCCTGAAAAACTCTTCCAGGCTGCCGTTGGGGCAGGAAGAGGCCCCAGGAGCTGCCCTGGCCCCACCCTCCCTACCCAGGTGGCCTCAGGGTACACAGACCTCAGCCCCCTCGACCTGTGGCTTTTGAGCCACTGCCCTGAGACTGCAGCCCCCTGGGTATGGTGACTGCAGCCCCCTGGGTATGGTGACTGCCAGCCCTCTGGTCCCAGGGCCCAAATTGTGGCAGGGCAGCACCTGCTTCGGGCAGCTCCTCCTTGGCCTTCTGAAGGGAGGGACCGGCCTGCTTCCCTGAACCCCCATTCCGCTGGTTTTCCATGATGGAGGTCACTTTCTAGACGTCTTAGCTTTTGGTGAACAGTGCCGGTCATCAGCACGACATCCCGGTGCGCTCGCCCTGGGTTGGCTGTGCTTGCCAGGCACCCCAGCCCAGGACTCAGCCTCCCACCGCACTGCCCATTGACTGATGCTCAGGATACACAGGGCCAGGGCAGTGACCCCTCCAGCTGCTTCCTGACAGCCCGGAGGTGGAAAGGGGGTTTGATGCAGACTGCTGAGCTGCAGCCTGGACGACCGGATGCCCACTGACGAGAGCCAAGGGCGGGCAGAGAGCTGGGGACAGGGCGTGAAAAGCACGGAGACCCCACCCCCCCATGAGGTCTTCATGGCCAGAGCAGCTCTGCTCTGTGCTGACTGGTTTGTACTTCGTGTCTTCAGAGGACCGAGCCTTCACAGTCCCTTGTACAAGGATCCTTCATTTCCCTGCCCCACCCCCCGTGTTCCCTGTGCCTCACCGGGCCGCTGCCCCCTGCAGAGCGCCGGAGCCAGGGTCTGTCCTCACGCCTGCAGAAGTGGTTCTACGAGAGGTTTGGGGAGTATGTGGAGGACTTCCGGTTCCAGCCCGAGGAGAACACCGTGGAGACGGAGGAGCCCCTCAGCGCCCGCAGGTGGGGGTCGCTGAGCCTGGGCTGCCTGTGCCTTTGGGGCCCCGGTACCTGGCTGAAGCTTCAGTGGGTGGGCCAGGCTTTGTCACCATAGGCCAAAGCTGTCTGTGAGAGCTCCTGGCACAGCTGTTGGTTGTGCCCAGCCTTCTGGGGGCCATGCCTGGCAGGGGCCCACGAGGCCCACATAGGGGCAGCAGAGCTGTGTGACTCCACTCTGCTCTCAGCTGTGGCTTGTGACAGTTGTGTGGGGATGGGATCGGGGGGCTCTGCCCACTGCCTGGGGCCTTCCTTGGCTCATGAGCCTGATCAGTAAACCTTGGCTCCCCTGCCAGGTGCTGTCATAGGCCCTGGGGGTCCCAGGGGGCCAGTCTAGCAAAGGCCCTGCCCTTGAGGTCTTCTGTTCTGGGGACTCCGGTGGGAGATGAGGGGACAATTTCATTGGTGAGTTGCCCCCGCCTTCCAGTGCCAGCTTGGGGCGTGGCACTGAGGGCCATCCTGGCACACCCTGCTGTGCTGAGCCGCTGTGCGTGGCCGTTCTGTGTGCTCAGGGGGTCCCAGGCTCTTGAGACATCCTCCCTGCCCCCTGCAGAGCCAGCAGAACTGGGCAGTGGGGACCGCAGATCCAGTGGGCACGCTAACCCTGGGCTCCCATCTCTCCCTTTTCTCCTAGGTTAACTGAAAACATGAGGCGGCTCAGTGAGTACCAGAGCTCTGCCTGGCACCCTCACTGCTCGGTTTGGGTGGGCCCCTGGTGGTGGGGACTCTCCGGGGAGATGTTGTTAGAGGCTCCTGCTCTCCGTGCTGACCACTGATGTCTGCTCTGTCCCCAGAGCGCGGGGCCAAGCCCGTCACTAACTTTGTGAAGAACCTCTCCGCCTTATCCGAGTGGTACTCTGTCTACACGTCTGCCATTGCCTTTACTGTGAGTGGGTCCCCCTGGGGGGGGGGGGGGTGGGCGGAGACGTGCTGCCAGCCTTCACCTTGTGGTCAGGCACCATCCTGGGATGGGAGATAGCCTCCTGGTGCTTCCTCGGGCCCCAGGGACATGCTCATTTCTCCTTCTGTAAAATGGGTTCAGTGATGCCAATGCCCAGCTGGGGGTAGCTTCAAGGAGCAAAGATGTCGAGCATGGCCCAGGACTAGCCTGCAGGGCCCCCACCCCAGAGTCCCCTCGGGAAAGGCCTCTTGGCACTCACCTTGTGGTGTGGTGGCCACGCTGCTGAGGGCCACAGAGCACTTGGTGCTGGGCCCGGGGCACTTGATAAGGGCAGGGCAGCACGAGGGGACCCAGCCCGGCCTCTGTGCGCCATGAGTCCGGAGGTGTTGGAAGACATCAGGGCCAGCATTGCTTGGGCCTTGGGGAAAGGGAGCCAGCCGCCCTGCCTGGAACTGCCCTGTGGGACAGGAGACACACCACCTGTGTCTCAGGACTTGGTCCTCCAGGGGAGCCCCTGACCTGGGGTGGAGGCTATGCCTCCAGCATGAGGAAGATACAGACTGCCCACTCGGTTGCTGGGTCCTCCAGAGGGCTCCAGCCTGGCACCGTCCAGGGCTCCCAAAGGCAGCTCTGTCTTGCCAAGTGGGCCCTTTGGGAGAGGTCCCCACATGGCCTCAGCCTGGGTCAGGCTCCCTGTGCCTGCCCCAGGCACTTAGCGCCCACCTGGGCCATGGGCACTTTGTACACTCACAGATGAAGGGCGGGTGCTGGCGCACCAGCTGCACCCTGGCCCCGGAAGGCCTCTTCTCCCGCCGCCCTCGCAGATGCTTTGCAAGGGGAGGCCGTTGCTGCCCGGGCCCCAGAGGTCCCTGTGCCGAGGCTCTTTCACTGAGAGATGAGCCCCAGACCGGCCCCGCCCCCAGGCCCCACCTCCAGCCCTGCCTGGTCTGCGCGTCTGCTCCGTGTCCCGGGCTCCGCGCTGGGCACAGATGGTGTCTGGCATGAAGGTGGCCCCAGGCATGGACCTGGCTCGTCCCTAGCCAGTGCTTGGACACCTCACCCTGCCAGGCTGAGTCCTGGTGATGCCCCAAGTCTGGTGCCTGGGAGCCATACCCGGGGCGGGCGGGACCCCCGTGTGGAACCGGCTGCCGCCTTCTGACCCCAGGACATGCTTCTCTATCCTCCCCCCTCCCTGAGCGGCTCCTCGCTTCCACCCGCGGCTCGTAAACAGGGAAGCAGCCCTTCCTCCGCTTTCCCCATCAGACCGGCCCTCTGAGTGTCTGGAGAGCCGGGGTTGGCCTGGTCTCCCCGCTGGTGCTGCCTGGTTGGGGGAGGTGGGAGGGATGTGCCTCGTCATGAACCGCACTGCCGGGGGCCTGACGCCCGTCTCTCACCCGCAGGTGTACATGAACGCCGTGTGGCATGGCTGGGCCATCCCATTGTTCTTATTTCTAGCAATTCTGAGGCTGTCCCTCAATTACCTCATCGCCAGGTAGGTGAGCCGGTCTGCTCTGGCCACGCTCTCCCCGTGTGTGTGGCTGTGCTGTCTCCCCGTGTCTCACACAACTGTAACTGCAGCTGGGTATGTCACGCACTGACGTTTCGGGGACGGTCCCCTGACAGCCTGCAGAGACCCGCAGACAGGGCGGCTGCCCCCTCCCTGGTTTGCTGGAGATGGTAGTGGGACGTTCCCAGATCCCCCAGCAGCTCCTTCCCTGGGCGGCCAGCAGAGCCAGTGCCGGGCGTTCAGCACCTCTCCAAATGCCACAGGGACTTCTCCCCAGCCTCAGTGGCCAGGGGTCGGGGGGTGAAGCCAGCAGAGCCAGTGCAGGGCCGCTCAGCACCTCCCCGAATGCCACAGGGACTTCTCCCCAGCCTCAGTGGCCAGGGTTCAGGGGCTGAAGCCAGCAGAGCCAGTGCCGGGCGTTCAGCACCTCCCCGAACGCCACAGGGACTTCTCCCCAGCCCCAGTGGCGGGGGGTCGGGGGGTGAAGCCAGCAGAGCTCAACCCCCTGGAAGGCTGGACTGGGAACGAGTTTCAGTCTCCTGCAGACAGCACGCCCGTGTGACCGACATGTCAACCCTGGCCTGAGTCAGGCCCTTGTGTCACTCCTTGTACCCCCTCTGAGCACCCTCTCCCTGTGGAGGCTGGGGGGGGCGGTTCTGGAAGCCCACACCCTGGGGCAGACCCCAGTCCTGGCACAGCTGGGCCTGTCTTAGCCTGCGGTTACCCCCAGGAGTGAAGCTCAGCCTTGCACGGGGGCTGAGGGGGGAGCTGGGATTCTCTACTTGGACCTGGCCATTCAGAAGTTTGTGCTTCTATGCACCGTGTTTCTAGATGGTTCTCTGTGCCTGCCCCGGTTGGGTCATTTGAAAATGCTTTTATAGAAATCACTTAAATACTCTGGAAGGGGCCGTTGGTACCCAGAGCTGGGCAGGATGAGCTCGGACACTTGCTAATGCCACCCTGGCTGGCTGATGCCGAAGGGCTGCCCTCCCCACACCTCTGGCCACTTTTCACTGTGTCCCCTGTGGCCCAAAGCGCCCCAGGGAAGGGGCTGCTGGGGGTGACAGGAGTTGTCTGCTCTCACAGCAGGGGGCTTCAGGGGGCCTTTTTCTCCCCATCGGGCAGCAAAGGGCTCCCTCCAAGCCCAGCTGGGCACGCAGGGCTGGTGATTTGATACCATTCCCTGCCTCAGGTGGCGCTGTTTTGAAGGTATGTGTGTTTTCTGTTTGCCAGGGGCTGGCGGATACAGTGGAGCATCGTGCCGGAAGTGTCTGAGCCCGTGGTAGGTCGCTGGAGGGTGCTGGGTCTCCGACTGTCTCCATCACGTCAGGCCTCACAGCCTGTGGGCGCCGCTCCAGGAAGCCTCTGGAGGGGGCCGTGTGATCTTCCTGGGAGCCCTGCCCTGGCCCATAGAGAAGAGGAGGAGGCCAGCCCCTCCCTAGCCCCGAGCCCAGGGAGGCTACAGCCCGGCCCCCCTTGCTAGGCCAGGTTTAGCTGTGCAAGAAGCAGATTGCCTGGCCCTGGCCTGTCCTAGCTGAGGCTTCCCAGCGAGGATGTGATGTGGCAGGGTAGGGGACATCAAGGGGCCGCTGTGGCCCCCACATCCTCCCCAGGTAGGGTGGTGAGCCGTAAGCTGGACAAGCGGACCTGTTCGCATCTGAGACTCAAGAGTCCACCTCTTGGAGGCTGCAGCGAGCCGAGATCCCGCCCCTGCACTCCAGCCTAGGCGACAGAGCAAGACTCTTGTCTCAAAAAACAAAACAACAGCAACAACAAAAAACCCACCTCTGGCCCACTGCCTGACTTTGTAAATAAAGTTTTATTGGCACATAGACACACCCATTCATTTACACATTGCTGCGTCTGCTTTTGCATTACCGTTGAGTAGCTGACAGACCACATGGCTCTGGAAGCCAAAGATATTCACTACCTGGTGATTTACAGAAGTTTGCTCTAGAGGGAGACCGTGGCCCACGGGGCAGGACCAGCCAATGTGGGCAGAAGGGAGGCCTCGATGCCTCCCTTAGTCAGATATCTCAGTGCCTGTTTCTTGTGTGGAGCACGAGGGGTCAAGGGAAGCGCCTGGAAGAGGCAGGCCATTGTCTGACCAGTGCTGGGACCCGGGAAACCTCGGGAGGCTCTTAATACATGGGAGATGGGAGACAAGCAAGACCAGGGCTCCCATTGGCTGGGCCTCAGTTTCCTTGCCTGTGAGGGAGGGCAGCTGTGAAGGTGAACCCTGTGAGTCGGAGCCTCTGCTCAGCCACTGCAGGGGCAGCTCTGCCCAGCTCCTGTTGGGTGCCTGGAGTGAGGGGCACAGGATGAGATTTCACCCTCAGCCCAGAGGGGTGTCCTCCTGGTATCAGGTCCCCAAGGGACGCACCATCCCCTCTGAGCTGTGTGGGGACAGCACAGTCCCTGGGGCTGGGAGGGCGCCACACTGTGTTGTTATTCATTTCTCTGAACTGTTAAATTTCAGTGGAAAATTCTCTTTTCCCTTTGACTGAAGGAACCCCCAAAGGAAGACCTGACTGTGTCTGAGAAGTTCCAGCTGGTGCTGGACGTCGCCCAGAAAGCCCAGGTACTGCCACGGGCACCACCAGCCAGGGGCATGTCTACACTGGCCACAGGCACTGGCCAGGGATGTGTCTACGCTGGCCTCAGCTGGTGCCCAGGGAGGGCTGAACCCTGACACTGAAGGCCCAGTTTACCCACTGTCAGCTGACCTGTAGTCACCCTGCCCTTATATGGTCATTACAGCAACTCCGGTGGGTGGGGAAGGGGCCTCCTGATTCAGCCTCTGCTGATGGTGGGCCAGGGCCTGGGCCAGGGCGGAGCCCCTGGATGGACTCGGGCCTGTGTCCTGTGAGCACGGTCGCCTCTGCCCTAGACCAGAGCTGCGCCTCCCCCGGCCTAGGAGCAGCTGGGCAGGACACCGGGCTTTGGGTGACCTCAGGGCTGCCTGACCTGGGGGCCCTCCTGGCGTCGCAGTGTGACCGACAGCCCAGGCCAGGTTCTGCTGTAATCGCTGTTTCTCCTTCACGCAGAACCTTTTCGGCAAGATGGCCGACATCCTGGAAAAGATCAAGAAGTAAGTCCCTCGCCCCCAACCCCGGCCCGGCGGCGCCTGCCCGGCCTGAGCCTCCCGTCTCCTTCCAGCTTGTTCATGTGGGTCCAGCCGGAGATCACACAGAAGCTGTACGTGGCACTCTGGGCCGCCTTCCTGGCCTCCTGCTTCTTCCCCTACCGCCTGGTGGGACTCGCCGTGGGTAAGGAGATGTCCCTGCAGCCCGTGGCATCAGGAGCGGGGACACAGGCGCCTGCATGCCACCAGTGTCTGCTAGGTGTCTGCAAGAGTTGGCGATGCTTCCTCTGGTTCTTGTCAAAACGTTTCAGTTTGGGGAAGTGAAGCCCGGGACTGGTGATAGTTTCTTAAATCAAGCTTGCCCTCCGCTTCCAAGGGCCTCGAGTCTCTGCCATGTGGGAGGAGCTGGAGGACCCAAGACGGGCTAGCAGGCCCTGGGGATGTCAGGGAGCTGCCCTGGGCAGGACACGCCTCTGGGGGCATCTGTGGGCTCAGGGGTGACAGTTGCAGGGAGCCTGAGTGCCTGGTTTGAGGTGCAGGGCAGTTGGTTGTAACTCATGAGTTTGGTGATAGCGCGTGAAGCCAAGGGTCACATCCGCTAAATCACTCATCTGCAGAGCTGGAGGTGGGTGGGGTGTGGCGGCCCCTTCTCACCCCGGGAGGTGCTCATCCCGTCCCGCCCCTCGTGCTGTCTGCCCTTTCTTTCCCTCTTCCCTCCTTTCTTTTTCTTTTTTCCTCATTAACAATGATCCAGTGCCTGATGTGGGCTACACAGTGGCATGTGGGAGCGAGGCCACCAGGGTCCTGTCCTCGAGGGGCAGGTGGGGCTTGCCTGAGGCCAAGCAGGACAGCTCATATCGTCGTAGGAGCCGCAAAGCCAGGGGTGGGGAGAGCTCCGTGCTGGAGTCGGGAGGTCAGACCCGGCCCCTCAGCAGTCTGGGGTTGGCATGCCACTTAGAGGAACAGTGTGGGGCTGTGCCTGTGTGGAAGAGCACATGCCCCTGCCGCTTTTCCTGAATGCCTTTGCTGTAATACAGCCTGACCCTAGCCCTGAGCCAGCATAACTGCTAGCAGGAGGACGGGCCTCTCGGGACTCAGCGGGGCTAGGCGCTCCAACAGAGCTCACTGTGCCATCAGGTGCCATCACCAAGAGGAAGCAGAGCCAGATTTGTTCAGACCCTTACCCCAAAAATGCCCTAGAGGCCCTCTGGCTAGCACCCAAGACTCTAGGCACTTGAGTGGGTAGGAACCCCATGACCTCCCGCTGGACCCCTGGGCCTGGGTCTGGGCGCTGAGGCTCTGGAGCTGCAGTGCACTTGGGTCCCTGGGCAGCTCTGGGGCAGGCTGCCCTCCACGGGGAGCCTGAGGGTATGCACCTGGGTCTTAGTGTCCTGGATCTGTCCTGCCGTTCTTTTCTTCCCCTCCCCAGCAAGAAAGAAGTCTTACTCTGTCATCCAGACTGGAGTGCAGGGGATGACAGATCTCAGCTCACTGTAACCTCCGCCCTCCAGGTTTAAGCGATTCTCCTGCCTCAGCCTCCACAGTAGCTGGGGTTACAGACGTGCCACCAGGCCCGGCTAATTTTTGTATTTTTAGTAGAGACGGGGTTTCACCATGTTGGCCAGGCTGGTCTAATCTCCTGACCTTGTGATCCTCCTGCCTTGGCCTCCCAAAGCGCTGGGGTTATAGGAGTGAGCCACTGTGCCCAGCTTCTGCGTCCTTTGTTGTGACAACCGGGGTGGCTTGGGTTCTTGCGACCACACTGACATTTCACCGCCACTGGGCAGCACTGACCCTGCCAGGTGTGGGCCAAGTGACATTCCTGACTCATCAGCGCCCATGTGTCTTTTTGCAGTGCTAATGAGAGACCTGAGCTTAGAGGGGCAGAAGCTGCCTGCCCCAAGCAAGGATGCCCATCTGGGATTTGTGCCCTCTTGAGCTGAGCTGTCCTCGTGGGTTGGGGCACCACATAGAGGGAGGCCTGGAGCTCAGTCCAAGCAAGTGGTCCTGGGCCCTGCCTCACTCCATACCTAGCGTCTTTCAAGAATCAACAAGTTGGCCGGGCATGGTGGCTTACGCCTGTCATCCCAGCACTTTCAGAGGCCGAGGCGGGTGGATCACTTGAGATCAGGAGGAGTTCAAGACCAGCCTGGCCAACACGGTGAAACCCTGTCTCTACCAAAAACACAGCAATTAGCAGATGTGGTCGTAGGCGCCCAGCTACTTGAGAGGCTGAAGCAGGAGAATCGCTTGAACTCGGGAGGCGGAGGTTGCAGTGAGCTGAGATCGAGCCGCTGCCCTCCAGCCTGGGCGACAGAGCAGGACTCCGCTCAAAAGAAAACTAATCAACAAGTTGAGACTTGGAGTTAAAAAGTCTGACTTGATTGATGAGTTTATGTGAAAATGTCCTACAAAGGCACAAAATGAAACAAAGGCATGGCCTTATCAGTCACCTTATAGCATAGATGGTACATGAGCTCTGACCCGGGGCCCTGCAGGGAGGGCCTGCCATGGCTGGTCTGGTCTGGCAGGCTGGCACTGCAGGCAGTGAGACAGCCCCAAGCACTGGGAGGGGTGCCCGGAGAGACCAGATCTATCAATAGCTTTCGCTGCCCAGGGGAGTGCGTTAGGAGGTGTGTGTGGGCCGGCCCTGCCTCCCATACCTGGGGTGCAGCCAGGCCCTGCTCCTCTGAGGTTGTGCTTAGTAGGGGGACTGACCATGATTGTGTCAGGTGACAGTGTGAGGGAGAAAATGGAGCTGGCACAGGGAACCTGCGAGGAGTGGCTGGGAGCTGTCTAGGCAGGTGGTCACGGGAGGCCTCTCAGCAGGGCTGGGCCAGGTGTGGGGGCACCCAGGTGAAGGAGGTCAGGTGGGAGAGGGGGTTGCGGAGGGACTGCCATGGAGGAGCCTCAGATATGGTGCCAGGTTTGGGGAGTTGGGGCAGAGGAGGCACAGTCCTGAGTGTTTTAGGCGGGTGGAGAACAGCCCTGAGCTGGGCAGAGTTGGAGAGAGAAGTGAGGGGCATCGGATGGTAGGGGGGCTCCTAGCAGAGCTGAGGGGCCAGCCCCCGCTCAGGTGGGAGTGGGTGTGGTCTGGCCTGGAGAGGGTGTGGCCTCAGTGGGTGTGGGTGCGGCCTCAGTGGGTATGGCCTCAGTGGGCAGGGCCTGTGGTGAGAATCTCAGGTGTAGATGGGGCACCTGCAGTGGGGCCATAGGTCTTGGTGGATCGGGCCTGTTTGGAGGGCAGAGCCACCAGTTCGTAGGTGGGCAGGATGGGGTCAGGGAGGGCCTTGAGGAGATGCTCGGGGCGTTCCCTGACCTGTCAGGCAGGTGATGGTGCCCTTCAGTGCCAAGCGGAAGGTGGGGAGGAGCCTGCTGGAGAGGGGCGTAGTTGCTGTGTGATTCTGTGGGGGAAGGTGTGTGGAGTGAGGGGTGAGGCCGGCCGCAGGCTTCAGTATACAGGGCATGGCCCTCCGGAGGGGACTGTGCAGCTGGATGCGGCCCTAGGGGAGGGAGGATTGGGGGAGGGGCCAGGCTGAGGACTAATGGAGCAGATGGACTCACATCCAAGCTCAGGCTGGGAGGTGGGAGGGGCTGGCACCGTCACCTTGAGAGGACGGGCACAGTTGAGGAGCTCCAGATGGAACAGGCCATGTCCCCTGCTCTCAGGGCTCTACGCTGGCATCAAGTTCTTCCTCATCGATTTCATCTTTAAACGCTGCCCGAGGCTGCGCGCCAAGTACGACACACCCTACATCATCTGGAGGAGCCTCCCCACTGACCCCCAGCTCAAGGAGCGCTCCAGTGCCGCCGTCTCACGCAGAGTGAGCTCGGACCCCAGCTCTGGGGGTGGGAGATCCCCAGGCCCCCAGTTCTCTGTTCCCCTCCAGCTCATTTAGAGGCTGTTTCTTCCATTTTATGGGGTTTTTTCCCCTCTGAGCAGGCACTGCTGTTTCTGAGGCCCATCTAGTCCCTCCCAAGCCCAGGGCAATACTGGGGACTGATCATTACTCCTGAGAGCCAGTGGGGCTGGGAGTGACCCCTCCATGGGGGTGCCTGACCCCTGCCGTCCCTGACGGTGAGGCTCCGGCACTAGACCAGGCAACTTGAGAAGGGCCTCCCTTGGACCCACAGGCCCTCCAGGGGTCCAGCACAGTGTCCCGCCAGGGCCATGTGGAATGAGCATCTAGGTGCTCACCTTGGGGCCACTCAGATGAGTAGGGAGGGTTGCTGGGCTCTCCCCACTGAGGTGAGGTGGGGACCTGGGGCACATCTTCCAAAATTCGGATCCCAGCTTTTGGGAGGGTGGGTGCTGCGGGCGTGGGCGGCGGGCCTGACGTCAATGCTGTGTGCCATTGGCAGCTGCAGACGACCTCGTCACGGAGCTACGTCCCCAGCAGCACGCCAGCCGGCCTGGGTAAGGAGGAGGACGCCGGCCGCTTCCACAGCACCAAGAAGGGCAATTTCCACGAAATCTTCAATCTGACGGAAAATGAGCGTCCACTGGCGGGTATGTGGGCTGTGAATCTCAGACTGAAGGCCGGTGGGGGGACACTGAGGGTCGCCCTGGGACAGGCCAAAGGAGCCCTCCATAGGGCGTTCACATCCCGCTGCCCAGGGTCCCAGCAGGCAGCGCAGGAGCCAGGGTTCATGAGGACTCCAGGGGCTGCAGGGGCTGAGGGCATGCCTGTGGGAGAGCTGACTCACCCTGTGGCACACCCCCTGACCGCAGGCGGCCAGCTGGGGACACAGTCCAGGGCGAGGCATTGGCCTGCAGGGCACTGACAGGGGATCTGCCCTGGTTCCATCGTGTCTGGGGACAGGTGACTCAGGAACCCGGGTACATGTCACCCTTCCTGGGGACAGGCCAGCCTTCCCGAAGGGTTTTCCTGTTAATTTAAACCGTGCACCCCGGGGTGTGTGATGAGCAGCTGCGGAGAACTGAGCTTCGTCCTGTGCTGAGCCGTGGCCCTGCCGGTCCTTGTGGAGGTGGCGTCCTGGGGAGCTGCCGGCTGCACAGAGACTTCTGCTGCTCTCTGCTCTGCCTGGGCGCCTTCACTTCGCCGGTGCCTGGTGAAGAGGAAACATCTGTTTTCCACCCTCCGGGGCCACCTCTCTCACCGGCGCGCCTTCCTCTCACTGTGGGTGTTACATGAACGCAGGGGGCGGATGTCAGTCTCTGAGAGTCGGGGCTCCCGGGTCCCCGCGTCGGGCCGGAGGCTGGGTATTTCCAGTGTTGCGTGACGGGCGGGCCTTTTCCCGTTAGTGTGCGAGAACGGCTGGCGCTGCTGCCTGATCAACAGGGACCGGAAGATGCCCACAGACTACATCAGGAACGGGGTGCTCTACGTCACGGAGAAGTGAGTGCGGCCACAGGGCCTGCGTGGCTGCGGGGGAGGGGGCGCAGGAGGCTGCTTGGGCCCTGAGAGGGCGCGGCTGGCCCAATGCAGGCTTTCCTGAGTGGGGGCCCCGCCTCCCCCACGCTCCACTCTCGCTGGCTGTCTGGGCTCCCAAAGAAAGGTGTTGCCTCCAAGCCACCCATGGCCTGGGCTGGCACTGCCATCATCCTTCAGGCCGGCGGGGATGCTGTCTCATCTGGGGCCCAAAGAGTTCATGGAGGCGGGGGGCAGCCTCCCAAGGAGGGGACTCTGTGGGGACCTGCTAGAGCTGAGGCCCGGGTCCTTGCTGTCTGAGACGCAGCAGCCAGAAGAGGGCTCTGACTTTTCTCTGCTAGAACAAGACTTACCCTTGCTACACCCCAAACCCTGTTGTGGGAGTGGGAGAGCTAGCCCAGGGATGGGGTCTATTCTTGGCCTTGCCTGGCCCTCGGCCATCCTGTCCCCCACACTGCAGCAGTGGCCACGTCCCCACCTCCCCTCTGCTTCTTGCAGAGAAGGTGACCTGGACACTCCCAGCCAGGGCTCTAGGATGCCTGTGTCTCTCGCTGGGAATCCCAGGGGCCCAGTGTCATGGGAGTGGCAGTCTCAGGTTTCACACAGAGCAGTGGCCTGGAGCATTTCACAGGTGCTGTGTCTGGTGGGAAGGGAGCGTCGCTGTCCACCCACGGGGGCCTGAGGGGCAGCATCCTGGACTCCCCCACCTGGTGGGAGCTCGTTCTGGTTCAGGAGCAGGCGGTGCCTCTGTCCGTTCCCCTTCCAGTTACTTATGCTTCGAAAGCTCCAAATCCGGGTCCTCAAAGAGGAACAAAGTCATCAAGCTGGTGGACATCACGGACATCCAGAAGGTTGGTGCTTCCCCTGCGTTTCCTTTGTCACCTTTTGGTTTTAGGAACAAAAAAGCCTCGGTCCAGGAGGCTGGCGTGTTTCACTGGTGTCACTTGTAGCATGGGGGTATGATGCCATCTGCGGGGGGCAGTGCTATCTGGGGAATGGTGCCATCCCAGGGGACAGTGCAGTCTGGGGGATGGTGCCATCTGAGGGGGCAGTGCCATCTGGGGATGGTGCCATCTGAGGGGACAGTGCTGTCTGGGAGATGGTGCCATCTGGGGTGGGCAGTGCCATCTGGGGGATGGTGCCGTCTAGGGGACAGTGCCATCTGGGGGTGGTGCCATGTATAGACGTCCACCAGTGTCACTGTAGCCCCCTTAGGGCCCACTTTGTTTCGGGCTTTGTGGAAAGCCTGCCAGCCTCTGTCAGCATCTGGGCGGCGCAGCCATGCCAGCCGCGGTCCGTTTCCTTAGTCCCCACATCCCTGTGGGTCAGCCCCTGTCCTGGGGTCCACTTGGCTGGACCGTGTGTCTCAAAGTGGAGGGGCTGGGTTGGAACCCATGAGGTCGGGAGCCCAAGCCCTGCTCTGGCTGCTGGGTTCCCCACCTCTCGTATCTGGGACCCTCCCCTCAAAAAAAGATCCAGGGACCCTGAGCTTCTGCTTGGGACGCAGTTTTCAGGTAAGAGCTCAGATGGTTGCATCCGCTCTGGGCATTTTCTTAGCATTTTCCCTCGTATGCTGTCACACGGAATGAGCAGGTGGACGTGCCACAGGTGCCTGTGGACGGAGGAGGCTCAGTGAGGCAGCGGCAGGCACACTCGCCAGGGTGTCAGGGCCCCCAGCCCCTCACAGCTCCGAGCATCCTGGCCATGTCTGCGTTGGCACAGCGGGCTCTCCTAGCCCATGGCAGTTGTGGTTCTCTCCCCTACCCGGCTCTGGAAAAAAGTGCACAGTCAGGTGACCAGAAGGGGTGAGTTCAGGGCTGGGGACCTTTCAGTCTCTCTTGCGGTTGACAGTGCTGACAGATGCCCCTCCTGGTGCCAGGCCCTGAGAGTGAGTTCTGGGGCCCAGTGCCCACTGTCAGTCTCCTTGAGGCTGCTTATCTCTGACCTTCCTTAGGCCAGCTGTGGAATTGGGTGGGACAGATCCATTACAGGTCTTGTGTCTCGGCCACAAAGTGGGGAGGTGCCCACAGGTCCTTACCGTCTGTTGCTTGCAAGTCCCAGGTGCCTGTGTGCCCAGTGGAGGAGGATGCCCTGGCCCGCAGAGGTCTGTGCCTCCCTGTCCCCCAGGAGAGACCTGCAGTGACAGCCACGCTTTGTCTTTCAGTACAAGGTCCTGTCTGTCCTCCCGGGTTCAGGCATGGGGATTGCTGTTTCCACGCCATCAACCCAGAAAGTAAGTGCCGGGCAGGGGTCACCAAGGGGTCGGTGTGGGCCCAGGGGCCTGGCTCTGAGCAACCCTGGGACCAGCATGGGACAGCCAGCCAGCGTTTCAGTTTGGGCAGCAGGGCACAAAGCCGCCCCCCCCTCGCAGCAACCGGAGCCTGGGGCCGCGTCCAGGTTGGGGTGGAATCTTGCCGGGGCATAGAGTCCCGGGACAGACAGGGATGTTGGTCACGGGTCCTGTCTCGGTGACTCGGGGGGAGGGAGGCGCGGGCCTGGACCTGGCTCCCCTCTGCCGCTTGGCTCCCTTTTCCTGAAGGCTGGGAGCCCGTCGTGCTGGGTGGTGGGGGGACATCTGTCTCTTGCACCCAGACCCATGTGACTGTGTGCTGGCCTGGCCTGGGCTGCTCTTGGACTTCATCTTGGTCCTGGTCCTGGCACCAGCCTGGCTGTGCCCTGCTCACTGCTGGCATTTCTTCCCTGCCAGCCACTCGTGTTTGGCGCCATGGTGCACAGGGATGAGGCCTTCGAGACCATTTTCAGCCAGTACATCAAGATCACCTCAGCGGCAGCATCCGGCGGTGACAGCTAGTATTGACTTGCCCGGGTCGTTGCTGGAATTTTTTTTTTTAACAATTTGGTAGTGGAGACAATTGGACATCCTCATGAGCTTTTGCAATAATTCTCCTGGACCTGTGGTTCTATTGTGTTGACCTCTGCGTTTCATTGGCCATGAAGGGGCCAGGGCTCACAGGGACGGGGGTGTCCCTCTCCCGTGGGGCACATCAGGTGCCTCTGAGGGACACCTGTGGACTGGGGGGGCAGAGGCCCTCGGGGGCCCATGGAGAGGACGTACAGGACCCCGGGCCCTGCCCTTCTCCATTCTAGCCTGTACAGAGAAACCTCTCTGGCTGCCCCAAGAGGTTCTCGCAACCTTGCGTCCTGCTCTCCAGAGGCCGGAAGCTCGTCCACCACCAAAGCCATAGCTGAGGAGTGCAGGCCCCTCCCCCTGGGGACAGGAAGATGTCATCGTGGAGGGACATGGGGGCGCTTCACCAACCACTGAGACGGGCCTGGCAGTCCTCCTTCCCCTTCCACAAGACCATCCGGCTGCGTTTGCCCTTGGCACCGGGTCAGGGCCGGGCACAGCGTCCCTGCCTGTGCTCTACACTCGCTCCATGGGAGCAGGAGAGTGAGACGGGCCCACCCCTTGCCTGCCCTCTGCCCGCCCTCGGTGTCTTCCGTGGCGCTTTCCTCGCCAGCCTCCAGGGCGCTCAGCCCCTCATCAGTGAGGGCGCCTGCTGCTCTCTGCCTGACGCGCCGGCCAGGAGGTCTGTGGCGGGTGACCAGTAAGGGCACAGGATGGTGTGCAGGGAAGAGCACATCTTTCTCACACTTGGCTCTTTGGAAGGCCCAGGAGAACATCCAAGAAAGCTGTCGGGGGTGCTCTGAGCACTGTGGCTTGTCCAGCCCGTGGCCTCTAGGCTGCGGCTGCCTGGATTGGTGGGGGGAGGGAGCGGGCAGCAGCGTTCCGGGTCCGTGGTGGCCTAGGCTGCAGCCACCTTTGGGCCGTGGGAGCCGCTCGGGCAGCTCCTGTGCTTTAGGGAGCGCCTGTGAGCCGAGCCCAGAGGCTTGGGCCTGCACTGTCTACAGCCGAGGCGGCACAGTCTTCCCTCCCCTACGTGCCTAGTCGTGCCAGTTCAGCACAGACCCCTCCCAGCCCCCGCCCCACCCCAGGGAAGCCTGCACTTCCTGGGAACAAGGTGGGTTTGTGGAGGGAGCACCCCACAGGCCTGCTTCGCTGGGGCCTCCTGCACTGGGCTGAAGGGAGGGAAAGGAGGCCTGGGCCTCGTGGACGGAGGTGGCTTGCGCGTCTGCTGGGGTGGATTCCGCAGCCCCCTCAGCTCGTCCCTTGGGTGTCGTTGAGATTGTTGTTTTTTGAAGAAACAGATTATATTTTTTACAGAGAGCAAGCTGTTTTTCTTATTTTTATATCATTTTTCAGATGTAATTTTTACCTTTGCTCCAATCCTCATTTCCTGGTGTGGGTGAGGGGTCCGGGGGCACGGGCTGGTTTCACCTGCTTCCTGGGGGCTGCAGGGTCACACGCTGGGGCCGGGGTGCTTTGCAGGGAGCCGCGCCGACCACCAGATTAAGCACACATCCCATCCCGGGCAGCAGAACCCCCTCAGTTCTAGGCTGCACAGACATCGGCGTCCAGGTGACGAATGGGGGCAGAACCCGCTCTGAGCCATGGGTCTGGCCCCTCGAGGGGTGCACCAGGGGAGGGGGCCCACCTCAGTGAACCCCACCTCGCTGCCTGAGGCAACAAGGCAACACAGGGTCGGTGCTGACCCACCCCCAGGGGTGGGTGTAGGGGCAGTGCTACAGTCGATGTCACACCCTTCTCCCCTGGGCTGGGCTGGGCAGTGCCTGAGGGTGGGTCCAGGGCCTCCAGGCCGGTGAGCGCCTCTTCTTAGGTGCTGAGATTCTGTCCCCAAACACAGCAGGAGGGCTCCCTGGGGCCGATGGGGCTCCTTTACCAGAGTCGTGTGGTTTAGTTCGAGCCCCTTTTCTGGAGAAAGGGAGATGAAAACTGACCACCTGCCGGGTGTGGCCGCAGACCTCCAGGCAGGGCCGGCTGCTGGAAGCGGGGAGAGGGAGGGCCATGGCTGCCAGCACAGGCCCCTCCCTGGAGGTCCTCAGAGCAGAACTCAGACTGGCGCAGGCTCTGGGCTTCCCGTTGAGAGAAGCTGTAGTTTTTACCAAACTGTGTACATCTGGGCAGATGTTTAATTTCTATGACTAATCACTGAACTAGATGAATGTTCAATTTTTTATGTCCGAAGCCTGAGTCTATTTTGGATCTGTGAATAATCGTTGCCAGTGTGACTTTTGTTCAACAAAAGGATTGGACTGTATTAAGAACCGATGAAAAAACTTCCCTGTAACATTTTTTAAAGAAAACTTTGTTTGTTTAAAGAAGAAGTCTTGTATAAATTATAATTTTTATTTAAATAAACCTAAAATGCTTTGTGCTAAGGCTCAGGGCTGTCCACCTCCTTGGCAGGGCCACAAGAACTGTAGGTGGCCGGACCCAGCTGGGCCACCAACCCCAGGCCCTTAGTGCCCCTGCCAGCCCGCCGCTCCCTGGGGCCCCACGGCTGCCGGCTACGGGGTGTTCAGGTAGTGACCCAGCCTGGGCGACACTGTGGGGTGAGGTGGGTTGAGGGCAGAGTCCTGTCAGACGTGGGCATCGGACGCTGGCAGCAGGAGGCAGGACTTCAGTTCCAGAAGACAGGAGACCACGTTGCGAGGGGCAAGGACTGCAGGTGGGGTGGGGTGAGGGAGGTGGAGGCAGGCAGCGCCTTGGGGTCAGGGTGCAGGCTCTGGCCCCACTCCACTGTGGTGTCCTGCCTGCCTGGGGATCCTGGATGGAGGGGTTCCCAGCAACACTTGGGGCTTGGTCTGTCCAGATGCTGATACTGGGCACAGAAAGGTGCAAGGAACTGCCTGGCTTTTGAAACCCCTGGAGTTGAGTATAGGCCTTTGCCAGGTACATGTGATGGTGCCTAGTCTCCTGTGCCTCAAGCCCACAAGAGCCCCCTAGGAGGCAGAGACCTCCCCAGGTTACACAGGGAGGGAGCTGGAGGCAGGTGGAAACCAGATCTAGTGGGCCACTCCACCCTAAGGGGCACGGCCTCAGAGAGTAGGACGTATGCACACTGTATCGACATAGCCAGCCCGCAACTGATCCACCTACCTATCCACCCACCCACCCATCCATCAATTTATCCCTCCATCCCCCCACCTATCCATCCATTTATACATCCATCCACCCACCCATCCATCCATTTATTCATCCACCCACCCATCCATCCACCCACCCACCCATCCATCCACCCACCTACCCACACATCCATTCACCCACCCATGCATCCGTTCATCCACTCACCCATCATCCATCCACCCACCCATCCGTCCATCCATCCACCCACCCGTCCATCCACTGACATATTCATCCATCCGCCTACCCACCCATCCATCCATCTATCCATCCACCCATCCATCCATCCATCTACCCACCCATCCATCCATCCACCCACCCATCCGTCATCCACCCACCCATCTGTCCACCTACCTACCCATCCATTGACCTACCCACCCATCCATCCACCCACCAACCCATCCATCCATTTATCCATCCACCCACCAACCCACCCATCCATTTATCCATCCACCCACTCATCCATCCATTTACCCACCCACCCACCCACCCATCCATCCATCTACCCACCCAACCATCCATCCATCTACCTCCCCATCCATTCGTCCACCCACCCATCCAGTCACCCACCCACCCATCCATCCAACCACCCACCCATTCACCCACCTACCCACCCATCCATCCATCCACCCACCCATTTATCCATCCATTCACCCACCCACCCATCCATTCATCCCTCCACCTACTGATCCATACATCCACCCACCCACCCATTCATCCATCCACCCACCCACCCATTCATCCATCCACCCACCCATCCATCCATCCATCCACCCACGCATCCATCTACCCACCCAGCCAGCCAGCCACCCACCCACCCATCCATCCATCCACCCACCCATCCATCTACCGACCCATCCATCCACCCACCCATCCATCCATCCACCCACCCATCCATCCACCTACCCATCCATCCATCCACCCACCCATTCACCCATCCATCCATTCAGCCACCCTCCCATCCATCCATCCACCCACCCGCCCATCTACCCACCCATCCATCCATCCATCCACCCACCCTTCCATCCATCCATCCACCCATTTATCTACCCACCCCTCCATCCATCCACCCACCCATCTATCCACCCACCCATCCATCTACCCACACATCCATCTACCCATCCATCCATCCACCCACCCATCCATCCATCCGTTCATCCACCCACCCATCCATCTACTCACCCCTCCATCCATCCACCCACCCACCCACCCATCCATCTATCCACCCACCCATCCATCTACCCATCCATCCATCCACCCTCCCATTTATTTATTCATCTGTCCATTCATCCACCTATCAGTCCATCCATTTATCCATCCATTTATCCATCCATCCATCCATCCACCCAGCCATCTACCCACTCTGCCAGCCATACATAGCAGGCCCTGTTGTTGGTGCTGGGACATAGCAGTAATGGGCTAGGAACCCAGCAAACACACCATCACATCCTTCCCACAACACGTCCATGCTGTGGTATCTACCGACCCCTTCCACCCACCCCTCTGTCCTCTTTGCAACATGTCCTCCCCCTGCTTGCCCCTAACTTGGAACAAGGGTCAGACCTACCTAACCCATCGGCAACCCACACAGACCCCCCCACACAGACTGGGGGCATGCGTGTGTGTCGTTGAGGTGAGGGTCACATAACATTCAGTTTTAAAGTGGCATTTAGCACATTCACGGTGTTGTCCACGCCACCTCTACTGAAATCTAAAATGCTCTTATGCCGTCAGTTGACCAACAGTAACTTTTTCTTTTTTCTTTTTTTTTTTTTTTTTTTTTGAGATGGTGTCTCTCTCTGTTGCCCTGTAATCCCAGCACTTTGGGAGGCTGAAGTGGGCAGATCACTTGAGGTCAGGAGTTTGAGACCAGCCTGGCTAATACGGTGAAACCCCATCTCTACTAAAAATGCAAAAATTAGCTGGGCTTGATAGTAGGCAACTGTGGTCCCAGCTACTTGGGAGGCAGAGGCAGGAGATTTGCCTGAACCCAGGAGGCGGAGGTTGCAGTGAGCCAGCCACTGCACTCCAACCTGGGTGACAGCAAGACTCCATCCCAAAAAAACCATTTTCATCACCCTGAAAGGAAACCCCATGCCGTTAGCAGTCACTTCCCATCCTCCCCAGCCCCTGGCAGCACCTGTGTGCTCTGTGTTTAGATTTGCGTGTCCTGGACATTTTGTAGGAATGGAGTCACACGGAGCGTGGCCTTTTGTGGCTTCTTTCACTGGGCATGGTGTGTTATGTTTCGGTCCTTTCGGTGGCTGGGATTCCGGTGCAGGGATGGGCCACAGTTTGCCCAGTCATCCACTGATGGACACTTAGGTGGTTTCCACCTTTCGTGATTGTAAATAGTAACGCCATCAACACTTGTGAACTGGTTTTTGAGTTCCTCTTTTCAGTTCTTTTGAGTATATGCCTGGGGTGGTGGTGCTGGGTCACGTGGTAGTTCCACATTACCTTGGGGAACCCCGTTTTTGCATCTCAAGTCACCCACAGCACCTCGTTTTTCACGTACCCCCCTGCTCCCCAGCACTTGCCTCAACCGCAGAGTAGATGTCAGCATGCATGTGAAGCCCAGACTCACCGAGAGGCGGGCATTTTACACCAGGGCCCCACTCAGCACCTCTTCTAGGGCGACATGAGAGGGATGGGCCATCCGGATGCTGGATTGCTCCTCTGAGCCGAAGGGACCTCAGACGCCACAGGTCCTCTGCTCCTCTTCGCAGCCCTTCTGCTGGTTCTTGCAGCTCTCCGCCTGAGAACATTTGGCTCTTTGGCCAAAAGTGCTGTTATTTTGACCCGACGGCCGCCGGTGGGTCTCTCTGGAGTCAGAACCCAGCAGCACGTGGTGGGCGCTGCCTGTCAGAGACCAGTGCCTGCTGCTCTGACTCACGAAGGCCAGACTGAAGTCAGGTGTCCTAGCAGTGGGCGTCTCGCAGGGGTCACTGCCGCTCTCCTGTTTCTGCTCGAATCCGTAGCTCTGAGCCTTGATTCCCAGCAGCAGTTCACAACTGCAGTTTTGTAAACAGCGGCTTAGTTTCATGAAAGCCTTCCCAGTGTAAATGCTACTTATGCCCTTCCTCCAGAAGTCTCACACCCACCCCCAAAAACGTAAATTATAAGTTGTAAAGAAGATGTGGAGCTCACACAGCGAGGGGAGGCTCTTCTTTCCCTGGGATCGTACCTAACACTCAAGCGCCCGTAATGGGCACCTCCAGCGTTTTCCAAAGTGGGCGGTGTTACAGAGCAAGGAAGAGATTTTTGCTTTTTTTTTTTTGAGATGGAGTTTCACTCTTGTTACCCAGGCTGGAGTGCAATGGCACGATCTTGGCTCATCACAACCTCCGCCTCCTGGGTTCAAGCAATTCTCCCACCTCAGCCTCCTGAGTATCTGGGATTACAGGCACGCACCACCATGCCCAGCTAAGTTTTTGTATTTTTAGTAGAGATGGGGTTTCACCTTGTTGACCAGGATGGTCTCGATCTCTTGACCTCATGATCCACCAGCCTCAGCCTCCCAAAGTGCTGGGATTACAGGCTTGAGCCACCGCGCCCGGCCAAGGAGATGATTTTTAATGCGCTTGCCTACCTGCTGCGTAACCAAAAGTGAAATCTTTAAGGAGACAGCTTATCAGACATTGTGATTTCATCAGCTGCTGTAAAAGAAAAATGGTGATCCAGGCATGATAGAAGCCTCCCTTGGATTTACCGAGAAGGGTATGTGGGAAACCCATGTGTCTGTTGATACCACCCTCAAAGTCCCTGTACCACAGAGAGGACGTGTGTTCTGATAGTAAATCATTGTCTTGCACAGAAAGAAATCCAGGTACGGTGATGAGTCTCATCCACATTAAATGATTGGATAAGGGGGAGTAGAAGCCTCAGCTGGGGTGGCCACGCACAGCTGTGGGGGCTGTGCACTGCACAACTGCAGGCAGGGGGTGCTGCCTGGGTGGCCAGGGTCCCCTGAAGTCGTGCACCTTGGCCCTCTGGCTGAGCTACTGTTTCCATTCCGTGTCCTGCCTTTCAGCCTAGTTTTCCTGATCAGATAGATACTTTGTTCCTATTAAAAACTGAAGATTTATTTTTGATTAACCTATGTGGTTGCTATTTTCCTATTAAAAAGCATTGAGGATGATTTAACTAAATGCTATGTTTTTACAACAACTTGTTTCCAAGTTATTAGAAGCGTGAGATTGTATCATGCTATAAACTCAAACTGACCCCAGAACTATCAGGAGGAGTCATGGAA